ATAGATAGATAGATAGATAGATAGATAGATAGATAGATAGATAGATAACTATCCAAAGAAATCAGAATTAGTCTTCAATGAAATGCATATGTGCTCCTTCTGTAAATAGTATTTGAATTAAAAGGTATAATGTCTTTGATGACAAATGAGTGAAATGTAAAAAAAAAAAATATTTGGACCCAGCAGTGTTGGGTAACTTCAGGGGAGTGGTGGCGCAGAGGTTAGAAAAGGTGGGCCTGTGATCGGAAGATCGCCGGTTCAAGCCCCGGTACCGACAACATCAAAAATGTGGGTGGGGTAGGTGAAGCACCCACACCTGTCCCCACGCTCATTCGTCCCACTCTGGGCCTTTGAGCAAGTCCCTTAACTCCCACCCTCTGCTCCTCCGGGTGTCCTAGATAGCAGCTCTTTGCTCCACACAGAGGGCTGTGGTAGCTCGGTGTCTGTGGTTGCGTCAGGAAGGACATCTGGCGTAAAAATAACTGCCAAGTCTTCGTGCGACTTAATTCGCTGTGGTGACCCTTTAAGAAGGGAGCAGCCGAAAGAAGAAGAAAAAAAAGCGTTGGGTAACTTCAGACATATTGCAAAACTACCTTTTGTTTCAAAAATCTGTGAGAACATAGTCTATGGTCAATTGATTGATTTTTTTTTAATGTTTATTTATTTTAATTTTTTTAGCAACACAACATTTTTGAGGTTTGTCAGTTTGGTTTTAAACTATACATCACTGAGTCTACTTGTTTAAGAATTTTTAACAACATACAAAGTACTTTTAGCTACTAATTCTGGTGATTGTGAGGTGGCTTGTAAACCTGATGGCCACATTTGATACAATGGATCACAAAATTCCCTTGTTTAGAGCAATGGGTGTTAGGATTGTAGCACTAGAGAGATTTAGGCCCTATTTACATGGACACGATGGGGGGAACCGTAGGTTTTTTCGTATGTTAATTAGAGGAAAAGATTTGCATTGACACGGTCAGATTTTGTGTTTACATGCATTCGCAGGATTCCCCCCCGCCCTCCCGAATCCACTGTAGTTACCATGCCGGGTCATTAGATGGCGCTGTGAATTTTCTACCTTCACCTAATGCGCATGCGTGCTGCCTGGGCACGCTGTTTTCCTCTGGGCTAATCAGCTAACAACAACGTAACAACAAGTTAAAGCTGGATTTTGGATGAGAGTCGACAGATTTGACGTCAAGCGGGACCTCTTCGTCTAACAGCTCCACACCGGTCGCTGAGTGGACCAGTACCGAGTCGATGATGTCGGACTTTATTCCGCGATAATCAGTATCTGATTTACTGCAGGTAAATCAAATGTTCTTAATAATGTTAGCTTGCGTTTACTTAGGTTACAAAACAACCAACTGAGTTTTTATTTTTCCTGAAAGAAGAAGAAGCTGTCCTTCCACCAGGCGGACCGGTTCTGAACGAGGCTCGGCCCAGATGAACTGCAGGAGGACGTCGAAGACAGAGATGTTGGAAGAACTATTTATTTAAAATTCTCCTCAGTTCTTTTATTCAATCCATTGAATGTTTTAAGTTGCATTAATCAAAGGAGTGACTTCCTGAACAAGCCAGATGAACAACGTGGAACCAGAGTCCAGGATGAAAACAGAGGAAGAGTCCAGTTCATTAATGTAGTTTACCGTTAACTTGTTTTAAATAGTGTGTTCAGTTTAATTATCACTGTTTGTGTGACATACAGTTTGTGGTGTTGAATAAATAAATAAATATTAAACCTGATGTCTTCATTTTCAACTTTAGTGTTCACGCTATATGTTTAGCATCATTTTAAATTTGAATTACATAATGTCCAGATAGCTTCATTTAGCTCAGAACTTCATTATCTCTCACACTAACATAAATACTGTTTATTATTATTAAACTGTTATTATTTAGCACATTTAGTATGTTCTAGTGCAGCGCGACGTGTGCGCGTGCCACGTTCTATAAACAGCGATATTAGAACTGGATCAGATTGTGTCTCTTCCAACACAGATGTCGGTCACAGCACCTGGAATCTGACGTAAATTAACAACGAGATTCAAAATATATTCCATCAACCATAGTTCAGAAAGCAGTGTATTCGCTGCCATGTTGATAGAAATATAGCGTCTGTCCGCGCGTGCGCATGTGGTTTAACACAAAGCCTCAGCGGGAGATGTTTACATTATCAGCGGGGGGTCAGCGAAAAACCTCGACTCTGGAAGGTGGATTCCTGAAACCTCCGGATTCAAAGAGGGGGGGCCACTGGTGTCGTGTAAATGATCAGCAGAACCGCAGAGAGAAAGCTGCGGATGCACTCAAAATACGCGCCGTGTAAGCAGCCCCTTAGATCCTATATAGCTATAGCACTCTTTACCTCTTTACATTTAGGTTCCTTTTCCCAGTAGATCAAACCAATTGTCACAAATTTAGGGGTTCAAATTGATGCCAGTTTTAAATTTGACGGTCAGAAAAAGTCTGTTGTCAAATCTAATTTCTTTCATATGAAGCAGATGGCTAAGATAAGACCCATTCTTTCAAAGCAGGTGTTTGAAACAATGATCCACCTCCAAGTCTTTTGTTTGTGTTTTGAAAATTTAAATGGCCTAGCCCCTCCTTGTCTTTCTGAGCTGCTACATCCTTATGTATCTGCCTGTTTTCAGGTCTGCTGATCCGTGGCTCTTTCCTGTACAAAAACTACGTGTAGCTTATTGTGTACTTGAGTAACTACAAAGTATCTTGAAGGACAAATCAGTATTGTCTGGTTCTATCCAGTCACTTGATTCATTCAGGGGATTCAGCCAGGTGTTGCTTCAGATGTCATCTGCCTCTTGTATTTTTCCATAGCATGGCAAAGCAAGCTTTAAAGAAGTAGTTTAAAGAAAATGCAGCCTTGAGTTTGACGCTGGTATGGGAGTTCTGATGTCAGATGGTTATCACTACCTTCTCAGTCTTCTGGTATGGAATTCCCTTGAAATCCTGGCTTGATTAGTGCAACCTGCAAACAAGACTTACCAGACCTAATTTCTGTGCAGCACTTCCTCTGACAATGTCTGGTAGGGGTGTAATGGTACGCTAAAATCACATTTCGGTTTGGTTCTGTTTCAAGGAGGGCTCGGTTCGGTAAATTTTCGGTACAAAAAAAGGCCAAAAGAAAGACTTACAAAATGTTTATTTTGAAAATATGCCAAATAAACAATACGTTTGTATAAAAATAAATACAAACAACCCATTTGGATGATATTTTAAATAAAAGTCACTCTTTACAATAAATAAACTATATTAACAATAATAAAAATCTTAAATACAATAACAGTCAGAACCAGAACAATAAGCAGCAACAGACCGTTTACAATCTAACTAATCAAGTTTTACGTTTTTGGCCAAAAAGACCAACTTGTCCACATTTGCTGCCAAAAGCACAGATCTAGTTGCAGTGACATTATCTCCAGCGGTGGAGAAAACTGCTCACTCGCAACAGATAGCAGGAATAAAGAGGTAGCGCTTTGTTAATTTTGCAGTGTGGCTGTATTTGGCCTCATTAGGACCTGCTCTCACCTGTCCCTGGAAAAGTTCAGAGTTCAGTCATCACAGACTTCTTGGTGATCTCTGGTGGATTTCCCCGAAGAAGAAGAAGACTCAGCTGCTATCTCTGTCCCAGACTGGATATAAAACACAGAGAGGTACCCCCCCCCCCCCCCAGTTAATAAGATTATAATTTTAAATTAAAAAAAGTTAATTACCGGTAGATAATAATAATAAAATAACACCTCTTCTTGAACGGTTATCATTTGTTATGAGGTGGTTGAATCTCTCGGTCATCATCATCAGGGCGGGACTTTAATCTGCTCCAGGGCTTGTTGACGATCAGTTTTAGCTTTTCAATTCAATTCAATTCAATTCAGTTTATTTATATAGCACCAAATCACAACAAAGTTATCTCAGGGCACTTTACAGAAACATTTACTTACATAAAAGCCAATTAGTAAAGTTATCTATCTAAGGAATCCAGCAGACAAGTTGAATCTTGGCTTTGTTGCAGTCTCCCATCCTGAGCAAGCACAGTGGCAACAGTGGAAAGGAAAAACTCAATTTTTAAAAGAAAGAAACCTCCAACAGAACCAGGCTCAGGACAAGTGGTCATCTGCTTTGACCGGCTGGTTTGAGAGGACAGGAAGGAGAGACAGACGAACATAGAATGGCAGGTCCAGGTATAGGTC